GTGACATTTAATCTCTGATATCAATTTCAATTTATACAATCAATCCTACTTTCGATTTGCATATGTGTTTGCATATGTATAATTAAAATGAATTCGCTGTATAGATCACGTATAGATAACAATGTCAAAAAATATGATATCAACTTTCATAAAAGAGAAAGATTTGTCTAATAAATTTTAGATAATTGTTCATTAATGATAATTAGGTTATAACATCTCTTAATTCAATATATTGTAATTTCACTATAAAATACTTTGTATCATTTTAATCATATTAAAATCTTCCGCATAAATTTGTGTGCTTGGAATAATTATTTTTACAGTTAAATATTTTAATAGTAAATAAAATATAAGTTTCGAAATATATACATATATAAATTAATCATACAATAAGAAAGCCAATGTACATTGTTAACTCTTTATTAACAAATATTTAACTTGATATTTAATTGCCACACAAATATGTAATCATAATAAAAAAAAATAAAGCTCAATTTATCTTTGAACAATATTTTAATTGTGAAATAAATTTTTACTAAGCAACATCAAATTTAGCAGAGATTTGTTACTTTTTAATTTTACACTTATTATTATATGTATATTATATAATATACATAATTTATATATTTTTAATTTTTAAGTATTATAGAGAGAAATTGTATTTTTCGAATATATGTAATATATATATATGTAATCAAAATTATTTAGATTAAGCGATTAAAATCAAAAATGCAATAAATGTGGCTTGAAAATTTCCAAGACTGGTAAATCGAACGTCAATCGCAATTTCTATCGACGATTTAAAAGTAATACTAAAGAGAGCTTGTGCTGTAAACATGTGCTAGGATTTCCTGCGGGCTAACGAAATTATTTTCGCCGAAAATCACGGTGGCGTGTATCGTCGATTAATACAGGCACGTCAGGCCGGGCAAATTACGTTATTACGTTCGATAAAATCGCGGCGATTCTGTGCTTCGAAAGCTATTCTCGCGACAACCGAATTTAACTAATCGCTGGTGATCGATGCTGTATTAACAATAATAATGATCCGAGCAAATAGTTTCCACTTTCGTTGCCCAAGTATTAAATTGTCCAAGTATTCATTCAAAATTAAGCGTCACTAATTATACGCATGTAATACAGTATAAGCGATTATAAAAGCTTGAATGTAAAAGGAGCGTAAGTCGTGGGTATGAAAAGTCATAGATTTTAATTCGAAAATAAATTTGTACGATAAATTTTTGGCTGGGCCAATTAAAATATTTTTGCGAGTTTAAATCGAAAAACTGACTGAAGCATTCTCCTTCCCCTTTTTTTATCATAATGTAAATTGCCACCACACGCACACAAATCTATCGGTTGATGTTTCTTTTTAATCAGACCGACGTTTATTTTCACGTTTATATTTCGTTAAAAATGGCATAAAAATGTACGAAAAACCTGCATATTTTAAATGTAATTAGCATTAAAATTCCACGATCAAAAGCAGATTCTGTAATGCATTTTCATGGACATTTTAATGGGAAGTTTCTCGCGTCGAAATAACGTTATCTAGAAAATGTATACATGTACATGTATATATACATTGTTATGTGATATAAAAAAATATTTCCAACCAATGGAACTTTCGTTCGTTCATTTCGCGATCGATTTAACATTAAACGCGGTCGTCTGATCTTAAAATGTGGCTCGCACATATAACATATAAGACTTTGTATATTTGTCATTCGATTGTGATAAACGACGTCGACGGCGATTTACCCCCACGAACAATGTGCTCGGGTTAACCACCGAGAGAGCCCCGTGAACACGCGCACTTTCGACCTACCCTTAGACAACGCCTCACTTTCGAGTGGACGACGAGGGGCAGCGGACGTTGTAGCGGACCGCGAATGAAATATCGCGGGACCGCACACAGAAGAGAAACGAGTCGAGAAGAGAATACTCGAGAAATGCGAAGGGGTAAAAAAAAGGCGAGGAGAATGGCCGGCACGAAGGGTCGGATTCCTTCACCTCGAGTGTGATTTACGTTCTTTCGTATTATCGGTCGCGTATCATATAACAATTATGTCATAGAGATCAAAGTATACGTACAGGATGACTCATGCATGTAAAGCGTTAGAAGTTAATAACTCGAAAAAGATATTTGTCGAATTAAACGTAACACCGCTTTTGCACCTTCTTCAAAAGGGTGAGAAGTAACTTTATAATTTCAAATAAAATTCTTTGTAAAATGTTACATATTTGAATTCTATGAAAAAAAAAGTAAATTTTATACGAAACATTTGGTTGAAGTGTACTTTTATCAAAAGTTATAAGCATTTAAATTTTAAAGTCGTAGAGTGCACTTTAAATTGATAATAAATTGATGATAAAATCATAAAAAAATTAAAAAATTGCACACAATATAAAGTATAAGATTTCGAAGAGACTTTAACTTTATTTCTTTTTACTTTTCTAATTTCAATTTTTTTTTTACAAATATATATGTTTATATTTTTATAAATATATTTTTTAATTTCTCAAGAAATATATTTATTTTCCTTAGAAATATTATAAGTTTTAGTTTTTGTAATTTTTCCAGAAATAAATTTTATTTTTTATTTTCTAAGAATAGTTTTAATTTAATTTTTTAATTTTTCTAAAAAGTAAATTAAAAAATTTCATATTAACATAGTCATTTCAATTGTAGTAGTTTGAATGAAGTCTACTTTAAAGTTTAAATAATTTTTTATAGAAATATTTTTCGAACAAATGTTCCTATAAAAATTTGCTTTTTTTGTAAGATCCAAATATGTAACATTTTGTAGAGAGTTTTATTTAAAATTATAAAATTGAATCTCGCTCTCTTTGAAAGTTGAGCAGGAAACTTTATATTCACGTAATTAGAAGCCCCTCGATAACATGAAACTTTTTCATGAACAACCTTGAAATTCGAAAAATATTATTACAGTAATATACTTTACACGGATGCTGTATATTTCGCGGACCGTTATGTATAATTTTGCATGTACGTCATTATTTTTAATACAAATTTAATAGATACAGGCTAATAAAAGCCAAGTCAAAAATATTTGATCAGTGATCAGATATATTCCATTGATTTAATTCCAGAAAAGAATACTGCTCTCCTGTCTATCTTATTTCTCTATTGATAGATATTTCGCTACTGCAAGAGCTACAATGAGAAAACGTCGTGTGACAAACGAGCATTGAGTCCGCGAATTGATCTGGAGATGGAATTAATCACTAAAACTGTCATGCTTACACCCGCGGAAACGCGAGAGGTTGGATATGGTGTAGGTGGAACTGGGCCAGGATTTCAATTTGAATAGCTCGGTACGCTTTTTGCTCGATTTTTTCGTTGCACACGCTGCAGGTGTAACGAATATATATGTTACGTCGCTGATCATCGGTTGATTGAAATACACCTTCGTTTGAGAAATTACATCTCCTAGTCGACGACTTTCTCATCGCATTATTACGCGAGTGCGACAATCATTTTTGCGCGATAAAATAAGATATTCTTATTTATATGCAAACTCGTTCAGAAGTTACAATAAAATTTGCCTATATTTTAGGTGTCGAGTTTAATCGCTGATAACTTGATTATTTGTATAAATTTAAAAATGAGATGTGCCAAGAGCATACATTTTTTCGAAACGGAATTTTTATACTCGCCATATAGAATATTCATAACGATCGAAAGGTTACATCGTTTCTCCCGTAATTTGTTACGTAAGAAAAACTCGCTGAAACCGAGAGTTTTTTAATCTCGACCTTATTTTTCGCCGAGAGCGTGTATATAAAAATTTGCATAGAGGAATCGCGCGCGCTTCGTTGAAGCATTTATTATAGAGATTCTGGAGATCGGAACATCGTATAATAAATATACCGAGAACGATTTTTATTGAATTTTGCCGTCACACGCTGATCAAAAAATTCGGCGCGTACCCGAAATACAATTTTCAGGAAATGTGGAAAGGCGCAACGTCGGAACATCGTGCCGGTGATTTGAATAGCGTGGTTGTATAGGATGTTTTTCACCTTTCTTCTCCTCTTTTTTAGTTTCAAAACAGTTCGTCACGTCAATATCGAACGCACAAGCGCGCGTTCGTAAGCGGAATATATCTTCGTCAAAGTCGCAGCCGAAAAACCGAGTTCAAAGAGCAACGCGATGTCAGGACTTTCCTATAGCCACCCCGTGGCTTTCATCACCAGCGATGGCGAGGATATCGAATTAATTCATTATTTCTGATCGAATTATCAAAGGCACTCGTACATATAATACGTATGCAAAAAGTAGATTTCAAATGCAATGCGTACAAGCATAACGAAATGGAAGTATTTATTATGAATGACAATTTTTTAATAACACTAAATTACTACAATTTATAGTTATCATGTCTAAATTTTAGCTATAATAACTAATATTTTTTATAGAATTCTCCGTTGAACTATAGCTAAAAAATATTAGTTACAATAGCTAAAATTGAAACATACATAACTAAATTTCAGGTTCTAAAATAGGGACAGCTACAATTTAGTTATGGTAGCTAATTTTTTCCGTGATAACTAATAGTCTTAGCATTCGGCGTACTATATATTTATATTATAAAATTATATTGATTAAAAATGGAGCACACACACATTTTCCCGCAATCGATACACATATATCTAAGTTATAATATTCTAAAGCTATATCTATATTTAATAAAGACCGTAATGGAAAAATAATGGAAAAGAGGAGAACTACCGGAGATTACTCTCTTTTTTTCATCAGATTGATAGATTTCATCTCAGTATATATGTACATATATATATTTTATTCTTGATCCCGTCCTTACACAATACATATGCATAATACTCTAACACAGCTGGTCGCTGACAATTTTCGCACCCTGCCCTATCTCTCTTTATTCTCCTGTATTTCCTTTTCCCTACATCCGTTCGGCTTCCATTGGAATACAAAGCGACATTGCGTGAAAAATTAAATACAGGTTTCGTTTTCCGTGCCGACCGCTAAGCAGTGATTAATGGACTGAATCCATTGAATTCGAGCCGATTGACGGAAAATCGGCCGATAGTGAATATTGAGACTGTACAAAGGAGGGAAGAAAAAGTGGTGACGAGAGAGAGAAAAGTGATTTTATTCCTGTGAGTGCAGACGTCGATTCGTGACGAAAACTCGAGGACCATGACGGAGGGCGAACCTAACGTGAGTGTAAGTCACAAATTCTTGTTATATTCTTTTCGCGTTTTCTGTTCGAAGAATTTTGGCTAATATCGTTTAGAAAATCGATATATTATATTATAGTTATTTAATCTATATATATAATATACATAGTGCACCCAATTTTAAACAACGCATTGCTATTATAAAAAAATTTTTCCATCGAAAAAGATTTCGTACAAAAGTTGTAAAATTTCGAAGGAAATGTCTTGTCGTAAGAATAGTTTTATTTCAAGTGGAAACATTTTTTGATATTTCGAGATCATTATTTTTTTTAAACAAAACTACTATAATATTTTTACGTAAAACAATTTCTCGTAATATTTAGCGTAAAAAATTGTTTAGAGTGAATAGTTGCAAAAATTGATATTTATGTTTGACAGTTTGACAAAAGAAACATTTGAAATATCTCGTAATATATCCATCTTTCGATAAGCTTATTCTATGCAGAAAATTATTAAGATAAGATTTTTTTATTGAATCATAAGTTACCAGATATTTCATATCTTTTATTAAACTGTGTTAGAATGAAGCATAAATATCTCATAAATCAGTCATTTTTCGACTATTCTACTCTAATAATTTTTTTACGTCACATATTACAAATCGATATATGTAAGAAAATTATAGTGGTTCCGTTTAAAAAAATATAATGATTTCGAAATCTCAAAAATGTCTAAAATAACATTATGTTTACGACAAGACATTCCTCGAAATCCTATAATTTTTATAAAACATTTTTCAAGACTTAATTTTTTAAAAAATACCTATTATTTAAAATGGAACACCCTGTATATATGTATAGAAAAATAATATATTTCGATAAAAATTGCCCATACCTTAAATATTGTGAAAAAAATGTGATGAAATATTTTAATTAAAAATTAACTATAACAGAAATATTCATGCATAAAAAATAATTATAAAAAATTTTATTTTATATAATAAAACATTGCTATTTAATTACAACGAAAATCTAGTGCTGATAAATGAAACTTCTTCAATGAAATTATTGTAGAAATTGCAATTACAAACATTTAATTTTTATGTAAAAGAATTTTGAAAATATTTCTGACAAAAGTTAATGGAATTTTTATTTAAAGAGAAAAATCTATTTGTTAAAAGTGTCATAAAGTTTCAACAACATTTTCATAGAAATTTTCTTTGTGAGATTGACTGAGGTGATACATAAAATTTACAAAGAACGAGATATTAAAAATAAGAGTAAAATAAAGTAGTTAAAATAAATAATAGAAATTAAAATGAAATAAAATGAGACATCTCTAACCAATGTACAACCATTATTGTTATTCCTGCACAATTTCAATTAACGCCTATTTTGCCGCAGTGCGGCAAATATTTTATGAAATATGTTTTTATACGTATATGAAATCTGTTTTTTTTCCTATATGTATGTATAATGATAAACATTTAACGTTTATAATTGTAAAACCGATATTGTATTGCTTCAATTTTAATCCTCAGTTTTAATGTTTTATAAACGCAAATATGCACATATATTTGAAATTTCAAGTTTTGACCGCTCTTTATATTGTTACAATTCAGAAACACAACGCATAATTGCGATGTGATGATATTTAACGAATACTATATGGATATATTTAAAGAGGAGAATATGTGTTATATTTGAAACGTACGTATAGTTTTCCAGTGATGGCAATAATATTTCGTGAAATTGACGGCGCGCAAAATTAACGCGATCAATAAACTCATACCATAAACATGCGCCAGAATCTGTCAAATACGATCAATTGAACTACATCGCAGAAGAGATCCCTATCAAATAAAAGAAGAAGAATCACACACATATCGATCAGCAGGACTAGCAGGTGGTCGTGCAATTTATATTTGAAAGAAACGAGATTTTCTAGAAATATATTGATTCCTATGAGATCACCGTATCGATTTACAAAATCTCAAGTTTTCTATCTTCTCTTGTCACAAATAAAATCATTAAGTTTATCTAATTCTATTATATTGTAGGATATGATTTTATTATATTATAAGAGAATAAATATATGTGTAAGAAGCAATTAATTTTACTTCAACTCTTAATAATAAAAATAATATAAAATTTAAAGTTTATTATCACGTTATAATTTCATATATATATATAATATATGTATATAATATGTGCACACATATATTAATTATAACGTGATAATAAACTTTAAATTTTATATTTTTATTGTTAAAAGAGTAAAGATAAAATTAAAATTGCTTCTTGTACATATATTTATTATCTTATAATATAATAAAATTATATTCTACAATATAATATAATTAGTTAAATGTAATTCTTATTATATATGTATGATATTATTATATATGTATGATTTGTATATTATTTATTAAAAATTACAATTGTTTCATTTGAATAACTTTAATAATAAAATAAAAAGTTCATTGTTCTGGCGATATAATAAGCGAGAACATTATTTCAATCAATCTTTTCCCACGATTTAATTAATTTTATTTCATTCCTTTCATCGTCTAATTTTAATTTTCAGAAATTAATTTGCAGCAGGATCGATCGAGAAAGTTCAATGGATACCGACTTCGTGTATTAATTGCTTGTCACTTGCAACGATTATTATGTGCATCTTAAGTAGACAAGAAGAGCATCTCTTACTTTGTCTTCTCTTACTAATTCCGACTTCTTATCTTTAAGAGCGTCTAGCGTTTTAATATCTTAATATATGTTTATAGTGTATAATATGAAGAATATTAAAGAATGAGCCACTTATTGTCAAATACTTAAATTCATGCAAAAATTCAGTACTTACTTGTATATCATTGACAATATCATTAAATATTAAACATATTAAATATGTTATATGTATATGTTTGCGTTGATACAATTTCTGGATATTATTTTCTTGTACGCATTTATTTATAATATAATTGCAGAAAAATATAAGAACGCACACAAATCTCAAATTCTAGAAAATACATAAGAGAGAAGAAAACAATATAAACATACTTAATTATGTATAAGAAGAAGCTTTCTCTACTTTATATTGTTTATATTTAATATTAATTTATTTTTATTCTATGTGAATATAATATAAATAAATATATATAAAATATCTTGAAATTGTGAAAATATTTAAATAAAAGTTTTATGTTCTAACAATACTCTTTACTTATTACAGTTTTATTCTATTTTGTTTCTATTTTTCCTTATTTTCCTTTGCTTATTTAAGCGGCAAACATATAAGTTTATTTAATTACAATGTGTGTGTACTTATAAAAAAATTGCTTAAATATAATATTAATATTAATTGTTGCTTTTAATAATATTCTCTGAAAATCTTGTCTGTGATTTGCAAAAAGTGTAATATAATGTTTTTATTTCTTTAGATTTGTGTGCGTTTTTTGTATGAAACTACTTGTATGAGACTACTTTGTTATATATCCATTGTATATCCAGGATTAAATTTGCATTATTAATCTCTTCTGTTCTATTTGGTCCTATTCATTTTAAGACAATGGATTGTGAGATATAATATTTATCTATAATACTTTTATATTTTTAACTTCAATTTTAAATTTCTCTGTTAATTATAATAACAACCATAGAGTAAATAATTCAAATATTAACTATTTTTGATAAAACTAAATATTTTACTATTGCATTTTTATTATTATACTTTAATATACAAATGCAAGTTTTTATATACCTATTAATAAATCCAAGAGAAGAGTTTTATTATTTTTATTCCTTCTCTATATTTGTTTTCATATTTTATATATATGTTTTTTACAAATCCATTGTCTCTAAAATTGTAAATAAATTATTGTTCGACTCACTGGTGATGAATATAACAGCGGAGATGTAGTACATTACATTAATCTGTAACACACAAATAAGTCTAAATTATAAGATTCAAAATATAATTAATATTTTGAAAAATCACTAAAAATTTTATATTAAAATTAATCTTTTAAATTTTTCGTTTCCTTGAATTTTAATAAATACCAATCAATAATAGTAAATAAATTATATTTACCCCACGTTGCTCCGCCGATGCCCGATGCCCCCTCGCCTCCAAGGTCATCTCTTCTTCCTTCCTCTTCTGTGTCGTCATTTGCTCCTATATTAAAAATTTGTATTTTTAGACAAATATATATATATATATTACTTCAATTAAATTTCTCGTTTTCTTGAATTTTTAACAAATAAATAGTAATAAATAAAAGTTACATTTACCCATGACGCAGTTGCTCCTCCAAAAGAGAGAGAGAGAGAGAGATGCCTCCTTTTCCTCTCTTCGTTCTGCTCCTTGGAATTTGAGGAAACTCACTCGCGAAAACACGGATAATTACGATTACGCGCGCACTAATTACCCAAATACGACGATCGCGCGACACTTTACACGGCACTCCCGAAGTTAACTTTGTCGTTAACGACAAAGGAACACGCACTCGACTGCACGGTTGGAAAATGGCACGAGAACTTGGTCGGCGTTCGCGATAACTCGAATTAGATTAACGTAAAAGTGACTTTGCACGACGATTGCGAATCATTGCAATACGATTTTAATTACGATTCACTGATTACACACGCAACGACGCGACTCGATCCGTTCGTGTACAGTATATATCATGGCGGATGGCGGGATAACTTCACGTTGTACTACGCGAGTCAAATCAATCACTAGTTTCAGACGAGAGCGAGAGAGAACAGTTCGAAAATATATATGACGTTCAATATTGCATTCAATATTCCATTAAATTTCCCGAGACACACGTATTATTGACAAATGTCATTCGATATATGTCGTATATGCTTCTTCGTTCGCAATTATAAAACATTTTAACCGGCGAAAAAACTGTTGGAAGTTGAAGCACGTAATATTGCATGTATTTCGATATCTAAAGAAATATTTGCTTCGACAAACCGTGATATGCTTTTCACAATCGTGGTAAATAATATCGCACCGATTAATTACTCACTTGTAAAAAGGGCTTGCGTTCGATCGACGCACTGTCGAACAGTACTTCCCGCGAGAACGTCTCGACGAGTAATACGAGACGAGGGATGAGAGCTGTGGCGTGATTGTCGGGTGGTGGGAGGTGGGGAGGGGGGGGGGGAGAGTAGGGGTGGAAACACAAAGTGTTTACTGCTCGGTCTTGGCGCGCGACTAGACTCAAGGTCAGTCGCCTCGCGTCGAAATAATATTATTCCTAAATCGAAAATAAAATAAAATTCTGAATTTATTGCAATATTACATATTTATTATATTTATATATATATATATATATATATATATATATCTTATATATATATGTATATATACATATATATATATTCTTATATATATATATGTATTATACATATATTATATACATATATTATACATGTATTATACATATATTAAAAATTACATGAAAAATCGTTTAATATCTATGTATATAAAAATTAAATTTATGTATAAATTTGGAATACTATAGTTACAAATTTATATACATATACATACATGTGCAATTATTATATGTATATAAATTTTATATATATTTCAATATTTTAATGTAAAATAAAATATTTCACTGTAAAATAAAAAATGATTATAAAATTTAGGACTGTTATAAATGCCGAATAACTAAAAAAAGAAGAAAAATAATAATAAAACTGCACGAGATGTTTAATTTAATGCACTGTTGTTGAATAATTTCAATTGTTTTTTACTATTTCATTTTTATAGTAGTTTTTATTATTAGTAGTACTAGTTTATCCAATGCAGTGTTATTAATTAAAATGACGTTAATATTAGTACATATTTATTTCATTTTCAATATATGTTATTTATTTTAAGAAAAACTTTAACGAATGTGACGTTTTTGAATATTTCGCGCTAAGAAGCGAACCTCTTTTGACTAGCGTAGTTATTTGTACCTGTACATGTACACTTTATTTATTATTTACACTTAAGTGCATTTATATTTTGCGTTTTTATCCTAGTGCAGAAAATCTTGATTATGCCACATTTTTCATTTAATTTTGCGTGTGAATTCGGAAATATCGGATAATGCAATAAGTGATTGAAAATCGGAATATTATCTGATCAATCGTGATACGCGATAATTAATGATCAATTGTTTCGTATTATCGATTTACGACAGGAAAAAATATGTAGGTATATCTCGTCGCGAATGAAATAACATCGTTTTCGAATTAATCAAATTAATTGTTTTGTTTCTCGCACGAGAGAAATATGATTTTAACAGAGAGTTTGAAATGAGCTCGAAAAATTATCAGTAATTTATTGTTAGCGAAGGAAGGACAGAAAAAAAGTTGGTGTTCATTTTCCTTAAGGCTGTCTCACATTGAAAGGCTCTTTTTTCTCAAAAAAAATCTCGTTGAAATTATTTCATACTTTCTCTTGTATGAATGTCGTGCATTAAAAATATCGAGTATATTTTTGAATTAATTGAAATGTGCGATAATCGGGTTTATAAAAAAAAAAAAAAAAAAAAAAAAAAAAAAAATTTGTGTCATGGATGAAATAAATTTTCTGGAAGTTAAAATATCTCGCGTTATTTTTTAAACGCATAAAAGAAATATACTTTTAATACGAAAAACGTGCACAAGAGTGAAAGTTCAAGACATGTTAGATCATGTTCGTCACATTTTGTGACAAACTGTTATCGCGCATTTGCATCGAAATACTCGTTCGTGGAAAACAGAAAAAGATATATATATATATATATATACAATATATATTTTTTTTGTTTGTTTGAAGCTCAGAAAAGTTTTAACGAGATAGCTAGTATTTTTTGTCAAATATACGTGTGTACGAGAATATCGAGTATCACTTGCAATGGTGTACATCAAAAATATAAAGTGAATTTTCGAACTTACTTAATCGAATTATATCTCAGCAAACACCGATATATAATTGTTACATTGCTATAATAAAACGGAATATAACGTGTACGTTACATGTAACATCCATGTTAATTGTAATTTCCCACTCATAGATGTAACATTTTAATATAACATATATTACATTGTAGTTATATACCAAATAGCACATTGATGTATTGATAAGTCAGTGCTATCTTGGGATATAATGACAACATAACTACAATAAATATATGTAATATTAAAAATGTTACATCTATGAGTGGGAAATTACAACTAACATATACGTTACATGTAATATGCTTGAGTATATTTTCACTTACGATTGCAATAAATATGTCGCGTAATGCGTAAATCGAATTAATCGTATTATTTTTCACGAGAAAAATAATTTTAATGGAAATTACAGAATAATATGAGCTGAAAAAAATCATTGAAAACGCGCCACAATATCGCATTTTGGCAGCAGTGAATAAAGAGCGGAGAGGAAAAAAACAAGGTTGGCACACCTGTTCTATTTTAACCAGATACGTTTCACGGTGCGACGTTACATCTCGAAAAATCGCGGCGAAATTATTCCGTATTCTTTCCGAAATTTTGGGCGTTAATTAACATCGGGAGCGTTAAGTTAACAAAGCGAGTAAATTTTCAATTTATTTTAAGTGTGCAACAGTCAGTGTTTTCGCGATCGACGTGCGAGTATATCTTGTTAATTACGCGGGATGTCGGTGAATGAATTGCTTGTCGCGTGCATGAATTTCATATATTATTTTTCAAACGTGAAAGAGAAAATTTTATTCACACACACAGTGTCCGTACTATATTTCAAACGCGGAAGAGGATTGAAGCTCGAAAACGGGTCGTACGTGGGATTCGGAGAATTATCGCTTTCACTTTCCACGAAATTCGTCTCGAGACCGAGGACGAGGGAGGGTGAGGGAGGGAGGGAGAGGAGTGGGAGAGAATCGAGGCATCGAGCACCGAGGAGCTACACTTTGTTTTGTCTAGTACGCTCGCGTCTCACTTCATCCTTCGCGCTTCGCGCCTGCCTTCATTCTTCGCGCGACCGGTCGACCGGAAAGTTTTGTCGCTGAAGAGCGGCGCGATTTTCGTCAAATCTCACTCACTCTCTCGCGTACAAACGGAATATCGGGAGTGCCGAAGTCCGCGAGAAGTGAGGTACATCGAGATTGTCTCGGGGACATCGTATTAATTGACGTACGCGAGAACAAGTAGGAATTTTTTTGTCGGTTCCGCGGCTTCGCGAGCGAGAAAAAAAATATGGCGGCGTCGCGTCGGTCTGAAGTTGTCGCCGCAAAAAAGGGGGTGAGGAATTAGTTCCTTTTTGCCGCGCTCAGGTAGGTCGCGTTTCAATCGGTCCGCGTCGCTTCTACCGAGATGTTTTCGATGAGATAACATCCGCCATTTACGTTGAAAAGTATCGCGAGTGCCGAAGGTGTCGAATTGTGTGACAAAGTGACCGTATTGAAAATTTGACAGGATTTTTATGTTGACATATCCGCTTTCCAGTTACTTTTTAATCATCTTGTTCTCTTCGCCGGTATGTAAATTCGCGATCGGAAGAAATATGTCGCGGAAATCGAAGCTTCGGGTCGACCGAATTTCAGTTGTGAATCTGTGGAATTTGTGACTGACTTTTGGAATTTGTGACTGACTTTTGGAATTTGTGACTTGATTTAACTGTGAATTTTATATTGTCTCTCGGATATATAACGGGATATTTCGGTTTCGCTTTTTTTTTTTCATCGAATTTCGCGCGCGAATAAAAGTGACATCGGGATTGAATTCGATGATTTTATTCTTTCGTGTGTGAGTGAGTGTTCAGTGCCTATACATGGATACATGCACACATGGATACAAGGATACAACGGCGTTTGGACCAGTCGGCGAGGGTGACACAGTGATACAACGATACATAGTAAATAAATTTATTATTTATTACATTTTTTGTCCGATTATTTGACGTAATTACGTCGTATTTCTCTCGATTCGCGCGATCCTAATTTTAATTATTTTAATACTCGCAATCAATAGTTCGCTTTAACTAGACGGTTTTTAGTAATATCTGTATTAAAATTGTTCAAAGGATATTTTAAATTTCTTATTTTATATTTAAATTTTTCAACTTGAATTTTGAAATTATCAGAATTTGAACATTTTTCGATTGGAATTGAAATTTTTTTTAATTCCTTGGCTCGATTAGGATCGTGATTAGAATCAAATATTTACAATATTCGCAAAAAGAGATGGATTGTAAATAAACACGTTTTAATATAATACTTATTTATATCTATAAATTTAAATTTATATTATATTACATAATTTATATTATATTTATATTTATATAAATATGTATACAATATATTTTTTAATTTTCTCTCTATCTGCGTATAAAAATATAAAATACACACACACACACACACACGCAAATTTTCCGAATATGGAATAATTTAACTATGAATCGATATTGCGTAATGATTAGAAAAATTTCAATAATACATACACGGAAAAAGATATTAGTTATTATAGATAAATTTAAAGTGTTTCTATATATTATACACTTAAAATTTAATGGGTGTGTGAAATTGGTGTCCTTGCGTTTTATAATAGTTCCGGTCATTATGATAATGAAAAAGTTTTGAAAAACACACTGAAAAAATATTTGTTAACTTGATTAAACCATTCAACTAAATATTATTTTGTTAATTGAACAAATGAAAATATGTAAATTAAATATAAAATTTTAAATCTAGCGGAACATATATATATATATATATATATATACACATATGTATACATTTGACTTAAATATTAATATATGTTCAATTAACAAAAATAGTAATTTAGTCGAAAGGTTTAGTCAAGTTAAAAATTTTTGTTTTCAGTGTAGAGGTGCCAACTTTACATTTTTTTGCACATCGATTTCCAATAATTCTGAGCAGAGTTTTAAGGTTCTATTGAATAGTTGTATAGTCCCTGATATTTTTTTGAAAGAGTTTTCCGATTTTTAGATTAAAAGATTATTCTTTTAAAATCGAAGATATTTTTAAAATATCAAGTTCTAACAAAAAATATTAGAGTTCTGAATCGTACTTTCTCGATAAGGCAAGAAAAAAAACGTAAACTCGTGATTTCCGAAATGTTTCGTTAAA